TGCTATGTTGAACTTTAAGTCCTTACAGAATATGAAGGAAAAATAATTTTATAAAAGTAGAAATAAACATTTACATATTTTTACAAAGAAATTTAGAAATCTAACCATATACAGAATTGTTACAGGACAGACCTGTGACATTTTTTTTTTTCTTATTCTTGTGTCTTTTATTTTCATTTATTACCCTTAAAAAAAAACCTTTACTTGAGAGACATTATGGCAATAAATGATATGTCATGACAAGAAGTACATATTTAGAAGGCCAGGATGGCAGGCACTGCAAGCATGACCCCTCTATTACACACTGCCATCCTCAGTGCAGCCGCCTGGCTCACAGGCACCAGCACATACAGTTAGTCAGTGTGAGAATCCCACCAGCCAACTGCTAGTCTCAAAAACCTGCTGACATACCCCAGGATCACTGCCCCACCCATCTCATGCATACAAATGCATGGCTTTGCCCGTCATGTTCCCCAGCTTTTCTCCTTGCCCACTCCTCACTGTCCAATCCTCAAGTTCTCGCTTTCCTTTTATTTCTATTGTAACTTTCTATATGTAATTCCTCCTTTAAGTTCTTATACTAGGGAGACAATATGATATTTACAGATGTGGGTCTGGTTTATTTCACTTATATCTTCAAGTGGCCTCCACTTAAATATGAAGGCTTTGAGTTTATCATTCTTTATAGCTGAGTAATACTCCATTATATAAAGTAGCACATCTTTCTCAACCATTCCACCTGTGACGGGCATTTTGGTTGTTTCCAATATTTGGCTATCACAGATTTTGCTGCTTTGTGCAGTTCTTATACGTAGTGCTGTAATGCATAACAGAGAGTAGTAAGTCTGGGAACAAATAAGTCAATAAATGAGGAATGTTTGCATTATAAAAACATGCTCTTAATTAGTAAATAGGCATTAATTCTTGCACTCTGTGTTCAAATATTTTTGAGTTCTGTGTATCTAAGAAATTCTAAACTGCAGTATAATTACTAAAAGTATAATTCTCAGGTTTTGGCATAATTAAATAATGGGTTTTCTCACCACAGGGCACTTCACATTGGTTTGCAGGAGAAAGCAGACTCTAAAAATATGCTTATTGTACCTTTCTGACAAAACTAAACATGTTTCCAAGTTGGTTTTTGTGGACTAACTTGCTTACTATGTTTCTCTGTACCGCCTGGATCTGCTTTACTCTCCTGTTTTTCTGCTTCCTTGTAAACTTTGTAACTATGGCCTGTCAGAGATTAAAGATTAGGGTGATGTTTTCTACCCAGGAGATGAGAATTTACTTGGCAATGGACTCTAGATAAATTTGGCCTACAAACCACTGTTTCTAAATCTGTTATTGCTCAAATAGCTACACAGGATTTTGTTTGTTTTTAAACACTTACTCAATTTTTTTCTCCAACATGGGACCTTTTCTTTTCCCCAGACCTGGTCTGAGGGGGTCTTCTCTTTTGTAGTCAGAGTTTACAGGGGAAAAGATTTAATACAGTACACATAATTCAGAGGATTGTTTTATAAAATTCACCCAAAAAGTCAAATGCAGAAGAGTGCAAGGATCTGTCCACACACTAGAGACCCAAAGAATCCAGCTGAGGGCCTGGATCCCATGGCAGTGTCCTGCACGAGTCCAGCTGGAGGCCTACAGCCCGTGGCAATGTGTCACACAAGCTCGAATCAAGAATCTACACTGGGAAGGCCCAAAGGCCAGCGGTGGAAGCTAGAAAGTCTGTGCCAGAGGGGTGAAGGACCTGTGTCACCAGGCTGAGGGATCTGCACTGGAGCCAGGAAGGAAGTGACATTTAAGGTAAGGACCAGAGCTCCCCTGAAAAGAACCACAGCCATCTTCAGCGACAAGGTCTCAGGCTCCTCTGACAATGAGAACAGTGGAATGCCTATCAGGACAGCCAGCATGACAAAGCTCCTCCAAGAGAATCAACTGCTCCAACCTCTTCCTCTCAGTTCTCTATTTATTTATTT